ACTGCGATCTCTCCAACCAAACCAACCTCTTTTGTAGAGCAGGCCTAATGGTGGACTGTCATGCACGAGCTGTTGGTGTTGGAAGCGACCTGCATCCAGCTGATCCCTACAACCTATACCAAACCGACTGTTCACCTTGTGGGTGGCTTGCTACAATACTAAGCTATCCTAATTCGTCAAAATCCTGCCACAGGTTTTCAAATTTATGGTAAAAGAAATAGGGTTGAAACTGTTGAAAGTCATGATATCATGAGGCCATTTTTCTGTGTGAAGGCATTTATATTTCTAGTTGTACAATACACATTATCTCCCTCGATCATCCCGATATGTGAGCTACGATTGACGTTGCGATTTTTGTGTTTAAAAGGAAAAACCGTTAATTGGATTGCATTGCTAAATTACATAGCAACTGCTATATGTATTTTTTATTTTTTTAAGGGGGGAAAATCATCGAATGACTGCTCCCGCCTGGGTGAGGCGGGAGGGAGTGTCAGTCTCTTACTGACTAAAAACCACCCCGTTCCTTCTCCTGCACGTCGAGCCGGAACCCCGGTTACCCGTTAGGTTCTCCGCGACAACTGCTATACGTATAGGACGGATCGTAAGCTTGTTTAACACTCCAATAAAAAATGTTTTTCCTTAACCGTATGTGTACGTTGATTACGTTGAAGTTAGTCACATGCTACCTATTTTAAATTTTCCTGTTATACTATCAAAATACTAGAGGCCTACGCACTAAATGTCATAACTTTTATCGTCTGGTTTGTTGTGAAAATTACGAGATAATAATCTTAACGGAGACTTGGTTGAATGATTTTGTTATGAGTTCAGAGCTGTTGGACGGAAGAAAAGCAGTTTATAGGCGGGATAGGAATAATAGAAAGAAAGATGGAGGGGGTGTACTTGCGGTACGTAAGGGAATAAATTCGGTGCACATGACCCAGTGGGAAAGCCACTGCGAGGATGTATGGGTGATCGTAAATATCTCAATTTCTAAATCTGTTCGTCAACTGGCTCTGTGTGCTGTTTATACTCAACTATATGCCGAGGTGGAGGCCCTTTTGGCATGTGCACACGCAGTATTATATTATTTATATTATGGTGTTTTTTTTGTGTATTTTAATTTGTCTTTATATCAAAAACTTATTTCAATTGTATGTACATTATTTTCTTATATTTTGATGATTTTTGTTATTTTCTTTATGCTTTTATGTTTGCTATTGATATTATGTATTTGTTTTTTTTTCTCATAATCTTTGTTTGTGTGCCATGTGCCAAATAAATGCTTTTTCTTTCTTTCTTTCTTTCTTTATCTGCCTCCGCCTGTACTATATGGAACCTTGGAAAACTTTTTGAATTCATGTAACTCTGTATTTGAACAATCAGGTACGAAACTGTGTATAATTGGTGATTTTAATTTAGGTCACATCAATTGGACTTGCTAAGTGAGCCTAATAGTGGCTATGTTCCACCAGGCATTGGTCTTTTGTTGACTGATTTTCTTAATTTGAACAATTTATCTCAACTAAATAATATATCAAATAAGTCAGGACGTATACTTGAC